GCTTAAATAGCGCTATCTACTGCGAGGATCGTCCATCATATGTATAGAGATTACTCCATAGAAAATGCGCGCGTACGATTTTTATTCACTCGTTGAGGAGTATCAGATAACTTACTCGTTCGCTACGCTCACTCGTTCGTTTTCTGATACTTCTCAACGAGTGAATAAAATCGTACAAAGCATTTTCCATAGTGTAATTTGTTTATTTTATAGATATTGAGATTTTTGAAAAGAAAAATTGCTGGTCAATTTAATCAGTTTGGGCGCGCATGTTTAGAAAACCCATTCAATTGCTATTATAAACTAAAATATAAAGTTCTCTTTGTCTTTTGAATTGTTTAATGAAGATAACAAATCCAAATATGTAAACGTAAATGACAACTTTTAAAGAAAAAACTTAAATGTCATAAATGTCGTAAATCAGAATGACACTAAATCACGAAAACACGCAGCGTCATACGCTTTTACGCTGAATAACACAATGCAAACCTTAACCCATATCAGTCAAAAACAGCCTGCAACTTTCATGAAAATTCAAGGAAAACTTACAGTGGACATAACTTAGTCGTCATCGGAGTCGCTGGATACTCTGATTCTCTTCCACTGATGCTTTTTCGTAATCTTGTCCTTTTGTGCGAACGCTCAAAATGAATTCACTCAAAAGTTCATTCAGCTCGGCGAGAGGAAATTCAGCTATTTCACTTCGTGCTTCTTTTATTTGAAGGAACTCTATAAACGAAGCAACGTCTCGTTTCGATTTCTTCATTGTGTTCTGGTTTTCTTGTTCTTCAATAAAAGTCTCAATGGAACCTTCCAAAGAAGCAAACCTTGAACCAGCCATGTTGGATTCAAGAGTCGGAGTGAAACTCGCGGGCCACGATTGTGCACTAGTGAATTTTCGTCGTTCGCGTTTGGGATTGGGCGAACGACGCTTTTTCACTAGTGAAAATTCATCGTTCGCGTTTCCTATTGGCTAATGGACTTAACGTACTAGTTTTACGCGGGCTTTTTGTTCGTGTGTAAATCTGAGTATATATGAAATAAAAAGCAATCCCAGATTACTTTCGACACCCAATTGAAATTTCTCTCTGTTTTGTCGTTGCCATTATTAAATTTTTCGAGAGGGTGGCGCGAATTTGCATCGTAAGATGAAACTCAGTAGATAAGAGTGATTTGATTTGATTTGACGGGAGGACCGACGAGACAGAGAAGCAGGTTAGTTAAAATTTAAATTTCTATTTGATTGAAGCTGTTCTTGCCTTCTTCATCGTCAGGACCGCTCGCGAGAGATTGAAACCAAATGTAAAACCAAGGTGTTGTCATTGAACTGGTCAGCGGGTCAGGACACGTCAGTTGAGGTGTTTGACGGCTGCCAGGGAATTGCACCAAGCAAAATGGGGAAGCCATCTCGTCTAAGTCGACAGGCCTTGTACGCAAGCGTGAAAGAGGTGAATGCTCTATTAACGTACGAGGAGATATAGTAATATAACACACGTCCCCAGATTGATCGGATGATGTGTTTGAAATATAGCACTGATAATTTGGGCACGACTTTTATGTAACAGTCAAAAGAAAAAAAATGGTTTGCAATGGTAAGCAGTAAATGACTGCCCACGAAATCGTTGATTTACATGCCGGAGTCTCGACGAAAGCCGGCTATCAGTGGTAAAGATGACTTTCTCAGATTCTCGCCTGTAAAAGGTTTTGTGGTATTTAAGATGGACTGATATACGGTAGACAAAGGCTTTCTTGGGAATTAAAAAGGGAGGACGTCACTCTGGAGACAAGATGTCGTCCATGAGCTTTTTTCCATTTGAAACTTGCCATTGAGACACGAAATAAAGGCTTTTACGACGATTTTTTTAATTCTTGAAAAATAATCGATATAAAAAAATCTGTCATTATCATTTACAGCTTATTTGTTTGACATAACACGTCGTATTGTGGGAAAAACAAAAAGTAGCGATCTTAACTGCACAGTTGTGCTATCTGTTTTTACAGTATTCTGTACATCGCATTCCTTGAAATTATTTCTTTGGAGGAAAAAATGAAACGTATTACTGCTCGTTTGCCTTTTAAGGTTATCAAACACAGCCAAGATCTTGGACATCGTCAAATTCTTGATGCACCGAGTTACCGCGGCGCTAAAGAACTGGCATCAGACTATCGAAAAACCAAAGCTATGTTGTACAACCGCCTAAAGGAGACTGGGTATGGCTCATGGGATTTGATGAAAAAACCTCCGGAACTGAGCCATTTTAATTAAGGATGTGTTTGCTATGTTGATAGTTTTACGTTATCACAAAGGACAGATTATTACGAGTTCTGTCCTTTTCTCTGTTTTGTTTCGTACTTAACGTACAAAGACTGTATCTAGGGCGCAGCCGGGGGTGTGCTCTTGTGCATTTTAATCCCCTCTCCCCTCCCTCCTTCTATTATCCATAAGTCCCCTCCCCCTGTCCCTTGAATTTTGTTTCCTTATTGTGACTCAGTATCTTTTCCAAAAAAATACGTTGCTGTGAAAAAAGATTGAGAATATACCAATCAGATTTGAGGATGAGATCATCTACCTTGCGATTTTTTAAAATGTTAATTTATTTCCTTTTTTATTCTGAGGGGAGGGGGTAGGAAATCTCGCAACTTTTAAGGGCCTATGTACATGTATATTAGGGGAAACCCAAGGTAGATTCGAGAGAGTGATAAATTCCCTAGTTGTGAATAGTCAGCTGGGCCCAGTTGTTCGAAGGGATAACGCTATCCAGCGGATAAACCGCTATCTGAGCGGATGAGAGTTAACAAATCCGCATTTGTCCAATATATATTGTTATGTTATCCATCCTTCGGAAACTCGGGTCCGAAGTAAACAGGCTTGCTGTTGAGAGTAAAATCCGATGTTGTCATTCCCACTGTCACGCAACACAGAATGTCAGAGAATACATCTTTTAATGAGCAGAATGACTTATGCATGCTGCATTTTATTTTAATAATAATATAAAGAAAAATTATATCGTGTTTAACCTACCGAAATGAACTGATGAAAAACTTTTATAAGTCCGTGTTTTTGTAAGAGTATTAGTTGTGCAAAATTCATGTCATACCTAAATGTTTTACTTCATGAAATAGTAGAGGAGTTTTCAATTGAGCGTCGAAAAAATAGAATCAAGATAATTACATCTACCAATCGGAACAAAGGTTAACATTATTGTTAACCAGTGAGAACTCAAAGTAAACACAGGCAACCTGCTTGAAGCGCGGGAAAACGCGACTGACCAAGTTGGGATTGGTTATTGTTTTGCATTTGATTGGTAGAGGTCGTGCCGCGAGTATTCTGGACCAATCACAGAGTGAGGAAAAAACAAAACCAAAGCGGTCGTGGCGCGAGTATTCTGGACCAATCGCAGAGCGAAAGAAAAACAAAACCAAAGTAATTTCGGACTATTTTCGACTCTCAGTTGAAAGTGGCTCTATTTTACAGTCCAGTATTTGGGTCAAGTAACACGTAGCAGATGGAACTTGCTCCATGTAAGTTGACGAGTGAACCAACCATATCACATATGCTGCGATTGAACTTTTACTCAGCAGCACATTTAATCAGTTTTTAGAACGTTTATTTATCTTTTTAAAAGTATATAAATAATAATTTGTCTATTCAACTGTGTTATCAATACATATTAATGACGTAAATGCCATCTTCCCCTCAAAGGGTGTGTTTTAGAGTCAAATCCATGTGCGTGTGGAATGGTTTTTGTGGTAAATATGGTTTACTACAAAGTATTCGTGTTATCTGTGTCAATGTGTGGGAAAGAAGTGTGACTTAAGTTTGATATACTGATAATGATAATGTAATTATCAAATTGTATCGAATTTCCACGGGAAAATGTGTTTGAAAATAGAGGGGAAAAATCTACACAACAAGGTTAGCATGTAGCATGTATCCAAGTGTGATACGTAATGTAAACAAGATAAAATAAAGATCTCATATTCATGAATTCATCTTTCTAATCTTGTTTGGCTTTTCCGTCTTTATTTCATTTAATCCTTTAAACCCTCAGAGTGACCAGCATCTAATTTCTCCTCACATTAATACAACTGAATTATCCATTAAGATCACGAGAATAAAGGAAATGATCAGCAACTTAAGAAGCTTTTATTACTGTTACAAGAATTCCCGTCGTCAGTAGCAAATGTATAGAGAAGAGTTTGGAGAATATAGACGCTGATGTTAGGATGTGAAAAGTTAAGTGTGTTCAGGCAACACGCCAATTGATGTTCATACCAAACATTTCCTCTTTACCTTTTCCTTATACATTGTGTTGTTTTTTTAGTTGAACTTTCTTCTTTGTTCTACCTGTAGAAGGCTTTTCCATGGAGCGGTCAACTCTTTCACTCCTTACACGCATACGCATCTGGTTATTAGCACGATTTGCTTTTGGTTGAAAGCTAGATACTAGTTGTATAACCCAACTGTGAGGCCTAAGTAAATAAAATTAATTCAATGCTTGTTTCTTTAGACGCTCCGTTGAAGATTTCCGTTCAGAACAACGTTTAGAACACCACACAGTCTTATTAACGGCATTTTAAAGTCTCCAGCATTATTTTATAATTGTTGAGAGTTGGAATAGCGAGGTCCCTGTTATTATGTCTTGGGACTTATTTATTTCATTCTTACAATGAGGAATGTCGAATGGTAAATGGAAAGTTGTAGTTTGATCTTCAACCGGTAACTTCTGTTCAAAAAAGTACAGTTATGTTCCTTTAAGCGCACCTTTTTTCTTGAAGTTCATTCCGAAAAGTACTCAATATTTTGCTTAGGTAGTATAAAATCTGTTGGAACGTATCGCTAAGAATGTACTTTTTTAATAAAGAGTGGAATTTGTATGTGGAATATTACCGCTGTCTATTTTAATGCATTTCCATGCATCCGTGAAATTATCAAACCATTCAAAATTGGAAAACCATTTATGAACATACAGGCAGTAGATTTTAAATCAATTGGAACATGACTTAAACTTAAGAACTCCGAGGAAATTTCTGCATCCTTAAAAATGGCCGGATTAGGTACAAGATAATTCTCCGAGCCTATTTTTCAGTAAATCGTTTAATAGTTAATACAAGTCTGATCTATTGCTTTTAGTGTTTTTTTTTTATTAATTTTATTGGTTTTTATTGCGAAGGATGCAGACAGTTTTAAGCAGATTTCTCTTTTATTTTTTCGTCAGTTCTGCGGTTGGCAGATGAACATACTTTAGACTAAACAATTTTAAGTTTTGAATATGGACGTATGTCTGTTTCATGTTATCAAGACTTTGACTTCGTGTTATAAACGAATTCTATATCAATTTTTTTTTAACACTTTTCTTGATCCATATTTTTAGACGTCATAGTTCACCATTACTAAAGATAAAGAAAGGTAGTTTTTTTAGAGACCCCGATCTATTACAAGTGAAATTAAAAACTGAAATCAGAGATGTACCAACATGGCGGTCAAGGGAAATTTTAGTGGTGTGAAAATTATTGTTATTTAATTCTAAACTTGTTACATTTTGTCTCAAAAGCAGTTTTCCTTTTACTTTGACAAAGCTTAATTTAAAAAATCTTATTTACAGCTGATCCTAAATTTTTTAATACCCTCAATAGGCCTCTGCGATTCACTTACACATTTTATTTACAAGTAAACAAATTCCGTATATCTTCGTTGTTTTTGCTTTTGCTATAAGACAAACTATAAGATTCACAACCGTATGTCACCCCTTTCTACTGTACACAAATGCAAAATGGAAGCGTACTGTACAAACTAGTCGAATGTACTTTTGATGGAGGTAATCCCGTTGAATCTCGTATTAAGCTATATTTTTTTCGCGCAAAAAAGAGTCATCACCTCGTGAAATTTAAAAATCCACAACTAGAGCTTGTAGAAATGTAGAATTCAAGCGCTTATCAAACGCGTATAGAAATTACATTCAGATAATATTTAACGACCACCTGCAAGGGCTTACAGCTGAACACATATTACGCATGCGCCCTGAATTTCCTTGACAATGACTTGAATGACAGCTTCGAAAAGTTTAAGTTTTTGCATGAAATTTTCAATCGCCTGAGGCTTTCGAATGCAAATCACTCGTCCTTTCTCGTCGTGCGACTAAATGCAAATACCGAATATAAACATTGCGAGAACTCGACGGGCTTTTCTGGCAAGGAGCCTTTTTTCGTGCGGTAAAGAATCAATTTTTTTCGTCTGGTCAGTACTGATGATCAAATTGCAGTCGGGTAAATTGATCTCATAACAATTTCAGCCACAAGGGATAGACATGATTCGCGGAAAATCATACTGGTTGAAAGCATATGTTCAATTGCTTGTTTCTTGTTGACCAAGGTTGAAGGCACCGCGCACCTGTCGACTGGGAAATTTTCGATTTTCTTGACTCGGATTTGTTGCGGAGTTTTTGCCCGCAAAACCACAAGTACACCAACGTGGACTGTTAAAATAATCTTTTTTGGGATTTGTGGCAGAGTTGGGGTGAGAAAAAACGCCCAGCGCCGATGAGGAATTCCCTTTGGAAATGAATGAGTTGAACTCGGTTGCAGTCAAGGAAATTGTTAGCATAAGGGAGGAAGAAAAACTGGAAAAAGAAGAGGAGGAACCAAGCATGCAAGATGTGGAAATTCCGGGCAGTTCGAGCAACGTGCAAGATTGTGAGCTGCACAAGCAACGCAGTCAAACATCGTCCTCACCGCCGCAAACAGCGAAACGAAAAGATCGCATAAGCATTAATGTTGGTGGTATCCGACACGAAACGTATCGTAGTACACTAAAAAATATTCCCGACACTCGTTTGTCGTGGCTTGCAGATGCCTCGCCAGGTTCTGTGGACTATGATGCAGATATGGGAGAATACTTTTTCGACCGCCATCCAAGTGTATTTGCTAATGTTTTAAACTATTATCGCACGGGATATCTTCACTGCCCGTTGGATGTTTGTGGGCCTTTATTCGAAGACGAGCTGAATTTTTGGGGAATCGATGATCAGCAAGTGGAGTCTTGTTGCTGGTTAACCTATCGGCAACATCGAGATGCACAAGAAACGCTCGCCGCGTTCGAAGGAGTGGAATTCGAAAACGATTTTGATGATGAAGAACAGCCTGATTTTGGCCGATACGGATTCGCATTTGCGGCGGAAACCGAACCAAATTTAACTTGGTGGCAGAAATATCAGCCGCGAATCTGGACTTTAATGGAGGAGCCTTATTCTTCAAAGCTTGCTAAGGTTAGTGTTTAAAGGCACAGGGCCGTTTTGGAAGTGATGAGAAATCCTTACAAACCATTTCAATTTGAGCTCATTTAAGAAAAAATAATAATACCCGCGCTGTATTGCGAGGTTTAAAAGTTACAATTAAACTCCCAACAGTGTAAAATGCAAATTTCTCCCATCCATATTCCGAAAACGGCACTCTTCATATTAATGAAAGGAAAACTGGGTTACGTTCGTAGCTACGAATAAGTTTTTAAGGTTATTTTCTAATTGTTGGAATAAACGGTAGGGCGCCCCGAAAAGCAAGGTCATAAAGGAAACTTTATATATGCCTGAAGCCTGTTTTACTCATCAGTGAAAGATCGAATCCTCTACCATACATTTGTAGTTCGGCTTGAGTACATTAATCGAATTCACGAAGCGCTCGATTTTAAAATTTTAACCGCGATCTATTGACGTAAATTACACGCGAAAAAGAGCAGAACTCTTAAACCCGCCATATTTCGTTGATGTCATCAGTTTTCGAAACATTATGAGCGATTTCTTCAACTTTAAGTCATATCTCCCTCGAAGATGTTTATGTTATTTCCCGCGGAGCAAGCACGTATACATGCAAAATATAGTATGGACAAATTGCCGCGTGAAAAGTCTAAAACCTCAATCATAAATATTGTGGATAAAATGCTACATAAACTGTAGAAGTCACCTTTGTGTGGTTTTCATTGAAGGAAAAGACGAAAATCGTTGACCTTTTGAAGAAGGGGATATTTAAAATTCATATTTAACCTAATATTTCGTTCCGAATATTTTAATGCATTGCACAATGACAGTGTTGAAATAAAAAGCTACAAAGAAGGATTTCAGTGTGTCGCGATCAAATTTTTATGACCCGAGCGGTTACATTTAGCGGTTAGACACGCAGACTTTTAGAAAAAAAGAGGTTCAAAGAAAAAAATCAACATCGGCTTAGATTGAAATTTTGTAACTACCCTGTAACATGAGTAAACCTTACCCACAGATAGCAAATAAAATATTCATGAGACAGAGTACCGCAATGATTGCTTTATATGAGGTTCCTGGTGAGCTATGAATTCTTGTAATCCTGGAAATTATAGTCTACTCGATTTAATCAGGGTCTAAATTGTTCATGTACCTGGAAACTTTAGAAATATCCCAAGTTTAACAAGCGAGCGGTTAAAAGTCTTAAATGGAATTTATTCCTTTACTTTTGCGAAAAAATTTCGATCCTTGATTTGCAGTAAAATGTTACGTTTCTTCCTTTTATCTCTTCTTTACTATTTCATCCAATCTCTCAGCATGTATACTGAATGATGATCGCTGAAAACACGAAAGGGCGATTTACAAACTGGAGTATACTTATTTTATTAAAAAACAACTCCATAGACGTGGGTTTTTTTTCTCTATAGAGAGAAATTTCATTCCGATTTATACTTGTGCCACCCTAATTTACTTCTAGGAAGGAAAAATATATTTGGTTTTGAAATTCAAGTTGTCGGAATTTACAAAGCTGGTGTACTATGAAATGAGTCTGAACATTGCTAGTTAGTTCCAGGCGAAATTTTAATCAACCCAGGTGTAGAGGAAATGTGTGCTAAATTCATGATGTTTAGTCCAGAGTGCTGAGAAAACTTAAATCTTTCTTCGGAAGAAAATTGCTTTCATAGGCCATTTATGCACTAAAGTGGTGTTCATTTTCAGTATTTTCGTACTCGCTGTGAGACATACCCACATTCAGTTGGATTCGATTCGTCTCACTTTCGTTTTGCTGTGACGGACAGAAAACATATATCGTCGTAGTGATTTATCACTGCTTTAGCCGGGAAGAGGCATTCGTGTTACTAAAATATGGACCTGAATACGAATATCAACAAAATTGTCTGCCGGGGAAATTGAAGTTATGTACGCTTTATGAAACGAGAATTCATGGCAATGAAGAAGGGAAAACGCGCATAAAGGATTCATCTCACTGTTGGCAAATATTTATTTAGAGGAAATTGTCCAAGTATAGAGATTTCAAAACCATTTATTAGAAGGCGCGTGTATTTAGATACTATGAGTACGCGATGTTGGCGGTTGCTACTGGTTACGCTTCTAATATCGACCAATCTGAAAACCTTGGCTTCAACAAGAACAATTTGCTGATAACAATTTTGATAACATATTTCGCGTCGGTTCGATCTGAAACTGAGGCCATGTTGCACTCAACGGAAATTTGAACTGGTGATGATTCGATATTGTGGGAAATAGAAATGCGCTACGTTTATGAACTTCAGAGACTTAAGCTAAGCTAACAATTCCGAAAGGTTCTTGTTTTTTAAATCAGTATAGTTTACAGTTAAGACATGGCTGATCGGTTCTCTAGTCGAGTAAAATAATTCTCGAAATAATTTTTAAATCTCTGTGTATTGATTCCAAGACGCTTTACACTAATGACATTTTAGTTGTTTCTCGGAATCAAACTTCGTAGCTAAGAGACGACAGAACAAAGGACCTATGCGCATCAACGTTACCAGTTACCTACGTCGACCATATATCAATATAAATATATATATCTTATTAACCAAGCGCGAGGGCCGTACTGGGAGAATATCGGCCCGAGGTCTTGACAGTACGGACCTCGCTACGCTCGGTCCGTACAAAAAAGACCGAGGGCCGATATTCTTCCAGTACGGTCCCGAGCAAGCTTGGTTAATAAGAGATTTATTATACGACTGAAGTTCAAAGGGACACAAGTGCAGTATCATTCGGGACCATTCGGGACAGTGCCCGGTCCAATACTTAGAGAATATTGGACCGGCAGTAGACCATTTTGATTGGTTGATTTTAGCTATTGGCCCTCTGACTGCCCGAGTCGTGTAATAAATAAGAATACAACCTGGCTCAAAGGCCTTTGTATACATTGGCTTGACTTATCTTGAACACAAAGTAAAATTGACGACCAGAAGACTGAGGTGAAGGAAAGACAGAAATATGAGCGGAGTTGTAATTTCCTAAAGAAACCAGTTGACGTGTGTTTGGGTTGATAAATAGTCAAAGCGAATTCTTCATCCTCAAGTTTTTCTTTCCCAGTCTGATAAGGCCTGTTTTATATTCCAATAGTGATTCCACTCCCGACTCAAGGACCGTCGAAAACATACATTTCCTAAGGTTTAAAAAAAATTTAAAATGCTGATGAATTTGTTTATGTATTCAGGTCATTGCATACACGACACTGACACTGATCGTGCTATCAGTGATCCTGTTCTGTTTGGAGTCTATACAATTTTTCCGCAAGGAAAAATCCGAAATGGCGCTGAAAATCTTGGAGGCAATCTGTGTAGCTTGGTTTACGCTGGAATTTTTGGTTCGATTCATCTTTTGTCCACAAAAACTGGCATTCTTCAAGAAAGTTATGAACTGGATTGATTTTTTGGCGATCGTACCGTTTTACATCAGCTTATACCCAGCCACAGAAAACAGTGACAATGTGGAGATCTTGAACATCATCCGGCTTATCAGGATTTTCCGGATTTTCAAACTTTCCCGTCATTCGTCCGGGCTCCAAATTCTTGGGCACACTTTGCGAGCAAGTGTGCGAGAGCTACTTCTACTAATTTCGTTTTTGATCATTGGAGTTGTCTTATTTGCGAGTTTGATTTATTACTGGGAGAAGGATACTGAAAACACGAAATTCTACAACATACCGAATTGCTTCTGGTGGGCTGTGGTTACCATGACGACCGTCGGTTATGGCGACATGGCACCCACAACGCCTATGGGCAAATTTATTGGCAGCATTTGCGCGGTCTGCGGAGTGCTGACGATAGCGCTTCCAGTTCCTGTAATTGTAAACAATTTTTCTTTATATTATTCTCACGCCCAAGCGAGGCTCAAATTACCGAAAAAGCGACGACGAGTTCTCGTTAACGCTCCGAACGCTCTTAAGGCTTCGGCTGTCGTCGAGAATGGAATGAGCGGTGATTCCAATGGAAGTTCAGACAGCGGCTGCGCTGAGAACAGTACAATAAACGGTGGACGCAAATGTAGTCTTCTAATTACTGATGAACTCAACGAAGTTAAACCCAGACGGCCTGTGAGGAGAGACAGTCATTTGTTTAATAATACACCAACTTCCAATGGAGATGTTGCTGCTACTGCTGCCGCAACAAACAACAGCAGTCGACAGAGTTACGCCATGCAGAAACGCCTGTCGATGAGACCAACGGTACCCACCCTACCAGAAGTGGAATGAAATCAATGATAACAAACCTACCGGAAGTGAAATGAACCCATCCCAAGATTACTTTTGGTTTATGGGGTAAGGGAAATGGGGGTGAGGTTGAATACCTCCCCCACCCCTCCACCGCTCCTCCCGGAAGACCCACCCATTAGAACGAAGTGCGAGAGCTACAAAATCAAAGGCGCGACTAATTGTCCTGACATGGGGAGGAGTTTGGGGGTATAGGTGTCCTTAGCTACTTAGAAAGTAACATCGTCCCAGCCTTGACATCAGTTTTAGACGTATTCTAGAGAGAAGATTCGGCGTCTTAACTGCACGAGAAGTAATATATTCCAAAGACATAATTGTGCTTGAGATTTATCGAAGCATGATTGATCTTAAGTTAGGGAAAACGATTCTAGTAAACAAAAATATTTATTTACATATCTGTGAGAATGTTTATTCATTTCGTGATAATGTGAAATTTAATAGCTCTCAGATCTATGAAGTCTCTTTGTCCTGATTAAAAAAAATCTGACATTTTCATTATATTTTTAGCTCATAGGTCACCGCTTTATAGCTCGACTTCACTAAGTTTATTAATGGTTGATAAATTTTGTGAAAGGGTGTTTGAACTGGCCGCGTCAGGCAAAGAGTGAAGTAGGGACATTTATAAAAATAAAATTTTTTTTTTAAGTGCCATTAAAAAGGATATCTGAGATTAATAACCTTATAAGGTGACACAACTGAGCAGTCGGTTTTGTTGCCTGGCAACAACGTCTTTTCGAGCGGGAGAAAGTCCCTATTTCAAAATGATATGAAGCTGAGGCTAAGGGGGACCATAAGATGGTAATGACAGAAAGTGTGGTTCTCAGTGCAGCAGAGCAATAAACATTCGGAATGTCACCTTAAGCTTCCTTATTTGAAAGCTTGGCAACAGAGTACGCAACTTTTGAATTGACAGTACTTATAAATACCATTATTACCTAAATCGTTACGAGCTATGATGTAGAACATTAATTAACCTAAACTCGATTTGTCAAGGAAATCTCCTATCTTTCAATAGTTAAATTGGTAGTGTCGAGATATCGTTCTGATAAAATGCGTCTTCAACAGGATCGGGATTATATTGTCCACTAAGGTGTCGTCGCAAATTTTCATCGCCTGAAAAGCTTTTCGCCGCACGTTATGAATCCAGCGGCAATGACGGTTGTGTTTGATAATTGCAATGTAATTAGAATTTTCTCGAAAAAAAAAAAAACGCTCGTACCAAATAACCGTTACAAATCCTAGAAATGTTCACATGTAATCACAGAATTCGTATGTGAATAGAGTTTATATATCTTTAAATGTACAGTGTATATAGTTCATAACAGTCCCCTGAAGACTATTTTCTTAGTAAGATAGCCAAACAATCCAAAATTTAAGATACATATAGAGTAGTTTTTTTAGATGTTTAGTTGAACTAAGTCAAAAGTTTGAATAAATCACTTTTAGATAGTTGGAACCGTTCTCTATTTTCCTTTTGTGTCTGAGTAAATACGTTTTGCTGTCAATGTTTGAAGGACGTTTCACGATACTGCACATGTCTTACTGTGGCATTCTGTATTTCGGCCCAAATTATTTTAATTGTGAACATCGGTATCAATAGGCAGACTGTGATTTCTGCCAATTATGATGTACACTTGCTCTTCGAATCGTACAACTAAAATGATTATTGCAATTGGATTGGCTATCGGAGCGAGGTTTTCAGTGGGAAATTGCTGCTCGAAAGCCGGAGAGGTTGACTGCGAATAACTTTTTGGTAAAGTGCCGCGCCAAGGGGCCAGCTTTCAATTGTTGCCTGGGGTGGAGGAGAGAATGGTAGGGATAACATGATTTTTGGGGAACGGATGGGGGATCAGTCGTCGCCAACAGAGTGTAAAGGGGGGTGGGTGGGTGCAATTGAAAATTGAATGGTAATGAAGGGGAGACGATCGTGACAATATACAGCCGACTCTCTCCCTCCCCAAAATCTAGTGGCAAACAATGACCTGTCCCTAGATACCACAGGCAAATTCCTTATGCACTTTGAACACCAAAATTTAAACTGAACAGAGAAAAGCTAATTTATAGCTCGAGAAATCTGCTTTTGAATTTTCATCGGGGGACGTATTAGGGTCGATGTTAATTTTTATTTAGTTTAGAAGTGGAAAGGTTCTTGCAGTTGTGAGCACACGAAAGGCGGAGAAATTATTTTTGGAAGCATTTAAAGCGTACGCTCGTACAAAGCTTTAACGTCTACTTTCCTCAGCCCTAACATTCCCAGAATCGGATCATTCCAAGATCATGCAAGTCTTATTACAACTTCAACTGCCATTTCCTGCAATCTCTATTTACTAAATAACTACAAGATTCGAAGAAAATACGCCCCTTGACTGGTGAATATCACATTTTAGTATATACTAAAACAATGGAAAGCGTTGGCCACTCAAACTCCGAATCTCTTTGCTATTCACCTCCGAGAAACTCGCGCGGGATTTGCGTCTGAAAATATTGTAACCGTTGTAGGAGTTAATGAGTTAAATATTTTTTTATGATATATCATCTCACTGTTTTAATTTGATCCTAAAACAACCGCTTGGCAGCTCGATAAATATACACCACTAGCTAGCCACCTACACCTCGGTGAATAGTTGTTGATTTACCATGTGATAGGAATACAGCCAATCAGAATACAAGAAAACCATAGTATATTCGACAGCACTTCAGCCAATTTTCCTAAACACAGCAAGTGCATTTCCAGTCCCCTACAAGCGTTTGACTATAAAGACCTTTACTTGAAATGCCTTCTTAAGTTTCTTTTTATTCTTATACACTTAATGCGAATCTTTTTAAAATCGTTACCAAAATCGCAGACGAAAAGAAGATAGTTGTGAACCGTTCAAGAGTATGCGCACACAGCGAATTGATTATGGTAGCCACGGTATTTTTGTATTTCAAATTTCGCTTTAAAACTAATACGGCACTCATTCCGCTATAAAAGGGAACCAGCTGATGGCGGATATCATTTTATTTTTGATGTGACCGGGTAGAACATTATGCAACTTTTCACGACTACAAATATCCGAGGTCAACCGGATAATGGATTTAATAACTAATTTTTAAAACTTGAAAAAAAAAATTGAGAGATGAAATGAACTTTCTATATACAGCAAATTAAATGCCTTTAGTGTTGACAGTGTTGAAGAACTGAGCAAACTTGTCCAAAAGTACTGCTTTAAAATTCGTCGTGATAAGTTTGACCAAACTGTGTGACATAACTTCCTGCGAAGATCTCATGACTTGTGACGAATTCGTCTGCTGTCAGTTTTCCATCCTAAGAATAAAAGAATCATCAGTAGCTGATTTTTTTATCAAGAGAATGTGAATATGAATATTTATATTCTCTTGTTTTTTATATAAATTTTCAGGTAAAAAAATATTCGAAATTCTTTGTGTAATGAACATGGACACTTTTTCTGTCAGCATGAATTTTCGGTGTTGTTTTGCTAGTTTACAGGGAATGCCTGCTATCAGAGAGTTGATCAAAATGGAAAGCTTTAACAAAGGTAAGTCTAGATTTCCTATGATAGAGTTATTTTCAATTGCTATCAGAGAGTTGACCAAAATGGAAAGCTTTAACAAAGGTAAGTCTAGATTTCCTATGATAGAGTTATTTTCAATTGAGCGTCGACAGTAAACCGGGACTTCCTAGGTTTTGCTTAATCCACCTGTATTTGTGCCTCAACAACAGTCGCTTTTTCCACAACCAGTTAGATTCAAAACTGAAGCCTTGGTCGCTCAATTTTTACCGCATTTCAGATAATTTACTTGATTTTACACTGAGTTCAGATTGGTTCCTAGAGATATTTACCCTTTTTTTGATTGGCTGTTGGGATTACTTTGGTTTTGCTTTTGTGATACTCAGTTGAAATGGGCACTTAGAGCACTTTCGATTTAAAGTTGTAAAACAAAAAATCAAAGCAATCCTAACAGCCAATCAAAAGAAGAGAAAACACCCTAAAGAGCCAATGAAAATTCAAAGTGAAAACAAGCAAACTTCCTAAAGCGCGGGAAAGCGCGAATGACTAATTCGTAATTAGTTTAAGTTTTGCACTTGATTGGCGGAGAGAGTGGCGCGAGTTTTCTGCACCAATTACGTGGCGTAGTGAAGCAAAACCAAAGCAGTCCCGGATTGCTTGTTGAAGTCGGATTGTCCATAATTACCTTATTCATATCAGCATACTCTATTAAATGCTGAGCCTCTCCCAGCGCTTTGTTAAAGTTCTTTGGTCTTCTCCATTCTTCCATTTCTTTCTGAAAAGTATTAAAGACAAGGAATAACAATGAGCTACGTAGAAATCTGGTGGTGGGACAGAATATATTTCTTATGATCACTCATTAATGCAAACCCAAAAAGGACTGTCATGTTTTGATTTTTATCATTCACAAAGAAACTCTTTCACCCTCTTTCTTTGATTAAACATTTCTCAAAAGAGAATTGTGATAGATTTCCTCGAAGCCGAAGCAAATAAAACAAAAACTTTTAAACAATAAAACCATCAGGTAGTAAAACCTGAAACCATCAGGTTTTCATCGAAAATTATGCAAAAAAAAAAATTCAGTACGATCGATTTAATAATTCAAAAGAGTAGCTTGAAAGAACCCTAAATCCCATCCTTCCTCCCCCACCATTCCTAGTACTAGCTGGTAAAACTTGCCAGAAATAAAAACCTTACTGAAGTTCAGAACACGAGATTATGCTTGATCTAATTCCTCAGGCGCAAGCAAGGAAACCAGGCTCACTGTTGACAGTGCTCAAGCTACAAAACTAACATCTTGTTGTATTGTAACATCAAGGGAATTTGTAAGAAGTTTAGTCATTATGGCGGCATCATGCTCGATGCTCTGAATATTCCAAAACTCCGGCTATGGCATTGTGCTGGTCTTATGCCGGTGTTTTGCCGGTATTATGCCAGTATAATGCCGGCATAAGTCATTAGGTTTGGGTTCTTTCTCGTCATAGACTAATTTTAAGATATACCAAGAAAGTGTTGCTTGCCTTACAGATGTTGAAATCCAAAATGAAGCTGTATGCTAACTATCTGTAAAATTTACTTAACCTAGTGACTTAAAAGTTAGGGGGCAGCTGAACATTACACTTTTGCCTCTTACCAGGTTGAGGAATCCATCATGATCCAAGTCATATTTCTCATTGAAGTCTGTAATGTAGAGGGTATTGAATGTTGGCATATCGATGTAGGCTGCAATATAAAAATTGAAAAGTGTGTCACTGTTACTTGAAAACTGAAAATTACCTAGGGAAAATTTCTTGTTGAGAGGAACCAAGAAAAGTTTTAAATTGTTTTCGTGTGCTGTAGAAACCACTCGACGTAGCAGAGTTCAAATGAAGAAAACTCAATTCATAACTCGTAACTGTTGGAAATGACAGGAAAAAACTCAATCGACTTAAACTGAATCGACCCGATGGCTTCAACTTATGAAGAGTAAATGACTTAATGAGTGAAGGATTAGAAAGCACTATCCATTGGACTCTTACATGTGTAACGAGCAATGCAAAGGCTGA